CTCGAAGTGTGCACTCCCTTGGAGCCGCTTGGGGGGGCCGCTCCCTTGGAGCCGCTTTGGGGGGCCTCTCGGGCCTTTCTGTTGACGGCCCCGCGGCCGATGGAAGGACCCCTCAGGGCCGAGAGCCGCCCAGGGGCCCTCCGCCGTGGCAGCTCCACGACGCGAGGAAGTCCAGGACCTCGGGGTCTCCGCGGCGACCCTGCCCGCAGGTCGCTCCCGCCGTCGGTCATCGTCAGCGTCGGCGACGCCTTCCTCCTCCTCCTCCTCCTCCTCCTCCTCCTCCTCCTCCTCCTCCTCCTCCTCCTCCTCCTCCTCCTCCTCCTCCTCCTCCTCCTCCTCCTCCTCCTCCTCCTCCTCCTCCTCCTCCTCCTCCTCCTCCTCCTCCCTCCACTCCTCCTCCTCCTCCTCCTCCTCCTCCTCCTCCTCCTCCACCTCCTCGGCCGCTATGGTTGTTCAAGTCGTTTGAGCTGGGGAGCTCGCTACCGCGCCGCGCGGCCACGAGCGTTCCTCCTTCGCGCGAGGGGGCGGTTATCCCCGCGAGCGCGGAGCCCGATAGAGCAATGATGCCTGCTTGCGCTACTGCTCTGGTCATCACGTTCGCGGTGGTGCCCTTCATGATGGCAGCTGTCGGATTTCGTCATGCGGTGTTGATGCGGCGTCCTCCTTTTCGATTTTGTGTGTTCCACTGGTGCTGGCTGCTCTTCGTCAGCGTGGGGCCCGCTCTGCCAGCAACAATCGTCATCGACGACAGCGTGCTTACAAGATGTGTGCATCCCATATCCACCTGATCGTCGGCACAGGGACCTGCTGCTGAAGCCCCTCAAGGACCAGCCGACGACACCTGATCGGCGGCAGCGGGACCTGCTGCTGAAGTCCCTCAAGGACCAGCCGACGAAACTCAATTCGGACGTGGTTTGGACGCGGATGCGACCCACAAGTCGCTGGTGAAGTCCGAGCTGAACCACGATATCCTGCAGCAGCTCACGGACCGTATCATGCCACACATCACAAAGCAGATGTCCTGCTCCTCTGGCCGCTGCTCGGCGAGTTGGCTGCGCCGTTCGAGGAGCGCCAAGATAACATCTCAGCGCTGCAGCGGCGAGTGGATGACCTGGGTGTCGCGGTGCAGCATTAATTACAGTGGTGTACTGGGACACTCGCGAGGACTACTGGGCGAGTGAGTTGGCAGAGCTTAGGGCTGAACTCGAACCCGGTACCCCGCGCTCGAGGAGCATCGCCGGCGCGAGCTGCCCGCTACAGAGCGTGACGCGAGCCTCCAGCCACAGAGCGTGCATGCCCTGAAGACGCTGATCAACAATATGAGGATGGTGCAGCAGCACGAGCAAGACGCGCCCATGGGCTCCAACGTGGAAGCGGACAACCCCTTGATTGATAATGTCTGGTCCGAGAGCTCCCCCGACGCGAACATGTCGCCCGATCGCGTGGTCGACATGAAGAAGCTGAACAGTTCTAAGAAGCTGATGGAGAAGCTCGAGACAGACAAACCACGTCCATGAAGATGCAGATGTCCACCTCTCGTACTTCATGTGCTAACAGAACCGCTTCGCCGTGTGCGGCGACTCCAAATCCTGCGGCGTCTTCGGCGTCGCCCACTCCATAGTTACAGCTGACCTCGGGGATGCGGCCTTCTACATATGTGGCGGCTACGCCTTCGAGGTCGACGACGTTTGCTCAGCGGCGCATCGCTGCCCATAGCCTGACCCGCCCCCCTCTGATGACGTGCCCTCCTCCTCCTCCTCCTCTTCCTCCTGGGTCGTCGACTTCGCCGTCCACTTCCTCCCTCTTCGTCCTCCTCTTGCAGTGCGCAGCCCGTGACGCGATGGCGTCATTTGGAAGGTTCCAGGTCCGCCATGACGCCCGTCGGCGGAAAGAGAGAGAGAGAGAGAGAGAGAGACAAGCAACACCCAACGCAACGAAAACAAAGAACAAGTCAGCGCAACGGTAAGGGGTGGGCGGGAGAGGTGAGACGTCAGATCTGGCGAGAGCGCAATTAGCTGACCGTTCCCCCCTCTTCCCTCGATGCCGGGCGGCCTTCGGACCCTGACTCGGGCGTCCGGCGGCCGTTTGGGACGATTTGCCCCCCCTCAGAGAGCTTTCGACGAGGCGCAGCTGCTGGAAATCATCTCGAGGCGAGGCGATCCCCAACAGTCAACGGAAACTCCCGTCCAGCCATCCCCACCCCTCCCCTGACATCCGACGTTGCGATACATTGCAACACGTTGTAACATCGCGAAACATCACGACTTGGGCCCTAAGTATAGACCCATATTCATACTTTGTTTGTCGAGCCAGATCGATATGTGACGATGCGGGGCCCGGAACTGGGCGTAAACGCCCTCGCCCAGATCTGAGGGTTGCCCTTCTCCCTCCTTTCCTCCTGAGAGAGAGGGGCAGGGGCAAGGTTCGTGGGCCCGCGCGTGCAGCCTCGAGGCCTGGGCGCGGAGGGAGAGGAGCCGATCGGGTTGATCTGCGGCCTCCTGCGACTGCCGGGGGAGATCCGCCACGCGGAGGGCCAGGGCCGCCTGTATTTCTTCGGAGGCGTGGGCAGATGCTGCGAGGATGCGGCATGGCTCCAGAGCTTCGACGCGGACCACGCGAGGGCGATGAAGCTGGAGGCGCTCCCGTCCATGCTGAACGTGAGCAATGCCTATGAGAAAGTCACGCACAGGGTGATGGCGGCGGCAGCTCGGCGAGGAGGCTTCCCGTTGCGCAGGGCGAAGTTGCTGCTGCTGCGTCTGTATGGAGGTCGACGCCGTCTCTGCCTGGATCGATGGAAGTCCGATGCTTTCCACGTCCTCCTGTCGCTGCTGGCGGGTTGCTCCTTCGCCGCCGCCCTCCTCAGGGTCGTGCT